GACCCACAGGGCATCCCTGACACAGCAGGTATCAGAGGATCAGGTTTGAGGTCAAACCAGAGGGGAGCTGAGGGTGGTAAACTGAATCGAGGACCAGGTTTGGGGCCAGGCCTGGAATGGAGGGATTTGGGAATAGTTGAATGGCTGTGTTGGATAATTTTAGATCAGTAGAACTTCGAATATGGAAGAGTAAATAAGTCCTGGTTGAGAATCAGATAAAGAGAACAATGATGGTGGAAGAGCTTTGATTAGGGACCAGGATGACATTGAAGGTGGAATGACAATAAAAGAGATCCCGGCTTGAGAACAGATGAGAAGGACATTGATGTTGTGGTGGTTAATAGCGGACCAGGTCTGAGGTCAGACCAGTGTAGCACTGTGGCTTAAGAGTTAAAATGGCCTGGGTTCAAAGTCAGATCGGAGAGGACTGCAGGTTGAATAGTTCAAAGGAAGCGCAGGTGCAACCAGTGTGGCATTCTTGGATGAAGAATTAACAGAGGTCTTGGTTTGATTTGAGACCGGAGGAGTCCTTCTGTTAGAATATGAAAGGAAGGCTCAGATTCAAGGTCATGTGAGAGGAACAGTGATGGTAGGATATTTAACAGAGACCCTTGTTTTGAAGGCAGACCAGAAGGGCACTGATGGTGGGAATTGTTAATAGAGGTCACACCAGAGAGGTGGGACCTTGGAATAGTTCAAAACCAGATCAGGCGGCCTCAATGTTGAGGGTTGATGATGATGGAACAGTTTACAGAGAGGTCTGTGTTTTGAGGTCAGGGCAGAGGGGCACCAGTAATGGAACAGCTAATAAAAGCTCTGGGTTTTGGTTGGTTGAGAAGCCTGTCATGTTGGATTAGTTGAAAGACACCCATGTGAGAATTTAGATCAAAGGAGGTCTTGGGGCACCTGGATGGCCTAGTGGGCTCAGTTGGTAGAGCATGCAACTCTTGATCTCGGGGTTATAAGTTCGAGCCCCATGTTGGGTGTAAAGATTACTTTAAAAAAAAAATAAAATCTTGGGACACCTGGGTGGCTCAGTCAGTTAAGTGTCTGCCTTTGCCTCAGGTCATGATCCCAGGGTCCTGGGATCGAGTCCCACATCAGGCTCCTTGCTCAGCGGGGAGCTCGCTTCTCCCTCTGCCTGCCGCTCCCCGTGCTTGTGCTCTCCCTCTCTCTCTAACAAATAAAATCTTTGAAAAAAAAAATCTTTAAAAAAAGAGGTCTTGATGGAGTAAAAGCTAACAGAGTCTGGATTTGAGGTCAGACCAGAGATGCCTTGATGGTTCTAGAGTTCAAAAAGGCCCAGGTAGAGCAAAAAGCCAGTAGCGGTGGATATTAATCAGAGGCCCAGATTCAGTTGGACCAAAGAATAGTCAGCAGAATTTCCATTCCAAATAAGACCAGAGGGGTATTGATGGTGGAAGAGTTTACAGAAGCTCAGGTTCAAGGGAAGTGATAATGGAATAGTTAACAGGCACATGGGTTCTGAAGTCTGCCTAGAGGGGACTGATGTTACAAGTGTTACCAGTGTCCTAGGTTCAAGGTAAGATCAAAGGAGCAATTATAGGAAAATAGAAAAGAGAGGCCAGGGTTCAAGCTGAGATCATAGGGGTACGGAGAGTGATACAGTTTCTTGAGGTCAAGCCAGAGGAGCAGTGAGTGTGGAAAAGTTCGCAGAGGCTCAGGTTTCATACCTGAGGTGCAGTGATACTGAGTTAACTGAAGCCTGGATTCAAGGGCAAAGAGCTATTGATGGTGGAATTATAAACAGAGTCCCAGAGTTTAGACCCCTGTAGCACTGACGGTGGAAGAGTTAAAAAGACTCGAGTTCAAAGGAAAACCAGGGACGCCTGGGGGGCTCAGTTGGTTAAGCGTCTGCCTTCGGCTCCGGTCATGATCCCGGGGTCCTCGGATTGAGCCTCGCATCAGGCTCCCTGCTCAGCGGGGAGTCTGCTTCTCCCTCTGCCTCTGTCCCCTCTGCACCCCCTGCTTGTGCGCGCTCTGTCAAATGAATAAATAAAATCTTTAAAATAAATAAATGAATAATGGTAAAATAATTAACGGAGGCCCAGATTCAAGGTCTGGACTGAGGGTCCTTTAGGTTGCAATGCTTGCTGAAGCAAAGGGGCACCGATCACAAATTAACAGAATCCGAAATCCAAGGTCATATCAGAAGCCAACAGCTGGTGGAACATTATAGAGAGGCCCTGGTTTGAGATTTGACCAGTGCTACACTGATGAGGTAATAATTAACAAAGGCTCCACTTCAGGCTCTGACTAGAGAGGCTCTCGATGAAGTAAACACACGGGTTCAAAGTCAAAGGGCATATAACAGTTAATGGAGGCCTAGATTGGAGTGGCATTGATGGCGGAATGGTTAAGAATTCCAGATCCGATGTCACACTGGAGGCACACGGATGATGGACAAGTTCACAGAGGCCTAAATTTGACCAAGAAGATGATTTTTTTTATCGTTTGCTCATAACTTATTTCCTCGTAGGTTGTTAGTCAAGAAAAGGTATCACGAAGATGAATTTAAAGTAGAATGTCAGGGCGCCTGGGTGGCTCAGTCACATGTGACTCCTGATCTCAGGGTCGTGAGTTCGAGCCCCATGTTGGGCATAGAGTTCACTTTAAAAACAAAAACAAAATAAAGCAGAATGTCAACTCTGCCACCTCAAAATTTCACGAGAAACCCCCCAAATCATGTAAAACAATATCCGTGATTAGCCATCTTGAATTCAGATTCAATAAACAACATGAAGAATGTGAAGAAATGAAGACGGTGCTAGAGAAAAATGAAGTTCTCCCAACTGATCTTGTCCATCCACTGACTTTGGTTGAAACCGAGCACCTTTTCGGTGTTGGATAGTGTTCAGAGTTAACACAGCAGGCCTGAACTTCTCTCCTTGGAAAGGCCTGCTTCGAGGATGACCCTTGGCTGGCATCTGGAAACTTAGATTTCACCATGGTTCTCACCACTCCGTGCCTCAACTGTTCATATAAGCACTCTGGTTTATGCTGAACACCTGTTTTCCTTCCTGGAGAGTCTGGAAGTTGGGTGTGCACCAGGCAAGGGGTGCCTATGTGACCAGCCCCCAGAAACAACCCTGGGCACTCAACCTTTAATAATGAGCTTCTCTGGGTTGTCAGGAGCCGTGATAGGGGGAATTAAGCATGTCCTGTGACTCCACTGGGAGAGGACCCTTGGAAGCTCGTGCCTGGTCTCCCACGGACTTTGCCCCGGGTGCCATTTCCCTTTGCCGATTGTGCTCTATATCTTTTTTATGGGAAGAAATCATAGCTGTGTATACAACCATATGCTGAGACCAAGAGTCCTCCCAGCAAATCATTGAGTCTGTGTGGTTTGGGGGACCTCTGACGCATATAGATGCATGAACTTCATCATGAACGTCCAGCTCGCTGATGTCCCTACCTCATCACCATTTGCCTTAAGGCCAAGATGGAAGCACGGTGTAGAAATGCTTCTGGCTGCAAGTAACCACACTGTCAAATAACAGTGGCTTCAACAGACCGGTGATCTTTCCTCCTCCAACAAGACTGCTGGTGTTAGTTCGGTAGCGCGATAATGTTGGGCCAGGTTGGAGTGCCTGTGGCTCTGTGGGCTGACCCTGAGGCCTCACGATGGTTGGCCACAGTTCCCACTGAGGCATCTGGGTATGGCAGCCTATGCAGCTGGAGGGAAGGGAGCAGCCGGAGCAAGAGCCTCCTTGGCATTTCTGGCAACTTTGACATTTCCTGGTGACTGAGGTCATTGACAAGGGATTTTGGTCCTCTTGCCCTGTCAATATCCCAAGCTTTCTCTCCTCACTCTGGACTCCCCTCAAATTGGAACACCACTTTACAGGCTCTAAGCTGTGCTGGGCCTTGAACTGGGGCCCTGGGTGGGCGTGGAAGGAGCTAGGGGTGGTCTGGGGTTCCTCTGGGGATGGAGAGAGAATCCCCATCCCCTCCCCCCACCAGCAGGAGCTGCTAGCTCAGCCTTAGGTTCCATGGTTGTTTCTGCACGGGCTTCCTACTGCACGTCCTCAACTCGCCTGCTCCCTGTTTGTGGGGAAGAGCCTTGGCAGGGGGAGGCTGGGAGCCTCAGCCTTCCCAAGGAGCCAGCAGAGCCCAGCAGCAGACTAACAACGTGAAATTCCTGGGGTAGAAGCCAGTACTCCCCTCCTCAACTCCCCCACTGTCACTACACTGGCACAAGTACCCATCACTGCTCACCTTGACTCCTGCAGGGCCTCGTGGTTGGTCCCCCTGCTTCCGCCCCTGCCCCCGCTCCAAGTCTGTTCTCTTCACAGCACCCAGAGGGGTCCTCTTACAACCAAATGGGATCGTGTCCTTCCTCTGCTCAAGGGGGCAACTCACCTCTCACTCAGAAAAAGCCCAAGTCCTCACTGTGGCCATGAAGCTCTCCAGGATCGGGCCTGTCCGACCTCATCTCCTACCACGCTCTGGTCCAGCCACACCGGCCTCTTCAACGAGCCTTCTGGCACACTCCAGCCTCAGTGCCTTTGCACTGCCTTTCCTCTCTGCCTAGAATCTTCTCTCCCCCACACTGCAGGTCCCTCTCACTTCACTCAGGTCTCTGTTTCAATGTCCCCGTCAGGTACGGCGTCCCTGACCACTGCACCAAAAAGAGCGCAACCTCCCACTCCCGTGCCTCTACCTCCTGTCCTGCCAACCCTGACCTTAGCTGACCTGTGACATATTTTTGTCTATTATCTCCCTGCGATAGACTGCAAGCCCCATGAAGGCAGGCATTTCTGTCAGTTGAGGTTATGGCTCTACCCCCAGTACCTAGAACAGTTCCTGGCGCACAGTGGGTGCTCAATAATGTCTGTCCCATGCATGACTGAGCCAAACACTTACGGGGGGGCCCATGACGCGGGAGGCATTCAATGACCGGTTGCTAAGTAAAGAAATCGATGCCGGAATGCACGAACGCGGAAGTGAATCCCAGTCCAACTCGGGGGCTAGAGCCACCCCCTCCCCGAGTCCACCCCCAGGAGACCTGGGAGCCAGCCACAGGCACAACCACAGGAACTTTATTTACAAACACAAGGCTGGAGCGGGAGGCGGGAGGGAAGGCGGACACGGCAGGACCTACTTCTGCTCCCGCCTCCAGACGATGACCATGCCACTGGCGTCGCTGGAAGCCAGCAGGCTCTCGTCGCAGTTGAAGCTGACATCCAGCACGGGGGCGCTGTGGCCCTGCAGCTTGTTGACGGCGGCCTTGGCTGCCCGCTCCACATCGAAGAAGTGCACGCACATGTCCTCGCTGCCGGTCACTGCCCCGGGGGAGAGAGACAGAGGGGCCTCGGGAGGTGTTGCCGGAAGCAGCGG